CAACAATATCAGCAACTGATGGCCTTGCTCAGACCTCAGGATTTACCCATTGCGACTTTCGCTGTCCACTCTAACAACCCCCCTCAAACCTCTCTTCATCCAGTATCATCTTCCCAAATGTCTGGTACTTCCACCTCTTTATCTACTCACACACACTATTCACCACATACATCATCTGTTGCTTGGATTCTTGACACAGGCGCTATAGACCATATGGTTTGCAGCACCACATTTTTTACTACTGTTACATCTACTGTTTCTTATTTTGTGAAACTACCTAATGGTCATTCCGCCCTTGTCACACACATTGGAACAATTCACTTAACTAATTCCATCATTTTGCATGATGTCCTCTGTGTGCCATCATTTTCTTTCAACCTTATTTTAGCAAACAAACTAACCTTTACTCTTAATTGTTGTTTGCTCTTCTTTTCCACTCACTGTTTTATTCAGGACCTGCATTCATGGATAACGATTGGGAAGGGTGAGCTCAAGCATGGCTTGTACTATTTCATTTGCAAGGAAGTTCTTCCCTCAGCTTTGTCTACTTTTCTCTTGACACACTCATACAACAACCATACCAAGTTTTCTTGTTTTTCTTCCCTTACAAACTCTATCTCAAATACTAACCTATGGCATTGTCGCCTAGGCCATTTATGATTTCCTAGGTTACAGTTAATTTCAGATCCTCTTGTACATAAGGGAGTTTCCTCTATTAATGAAAAGTCTTCCAAAATTTGCCCATTAGCAAAGTTTCATTGTTTATCTTTTCCTAACAGTTCACATTCTTCATCAAGAATCTTTGAGCTCATTCATTGTGACCTATGGGGTCCTTGCTCCACAATTGCACATGATGGCTCAAAGTACTTCTTGACCATTGTTGATGACTTTTCTAGAACTACCTAGATTTACTTGCTTGCTGCCAAATCCGAAACTAGACAATGTATTACAGCCTTTTACAATCTTGTTGAGACACAATTCCAAATGAAAATTAAAATTCTAAGAAGTGATAATGGTGCTGAATTTAACATGCATGACTTTTTTAATCAAAAAGGTATTATCCATCACAAAAGTTGCGTTGCAACCCCTCAACAAAATGACATTGTTAAGAGGAAGCATCAACACCCATGCCCTTCTTTTTCAAGCGGGTCTTCCCTTAACTTACTGGAATGAATCCATCCTTACAGCCACATATATCATCAATAAGGCTTCCATCACCACTTCTCCACAACAAAACACCTTATGAACTCCTTTTTAATAAAAAACCCGAGTATGCTCACATGAGAATATTTGGTTCCCTTTGCTTTGCCATCACACTTGCTCATAATAGAACAAAATTTGACCCTAGAGGTCGTGCATATGCATTTCTTGGCTACCCTTTTGGAACTAAAGGCTACAAGCTTTTGTTTATCAAAACTAATACCATTTTCATTTCAAGGGATGCTATTTTTCATAAAATTTTTTTTTTTCCTTTTCAAACTCCTCTCTCTCCTCCTTCCACAGCCCCATCTCTCCCTATTTTCTCTCTTTCGTTTGCACCTCCTTCTACTTTTCTAAATCCCATATCTCATTCTTCTTCATCCCTTAACCCTCCTGCTGTTTTCGTTGATTGCCCTAATACATCCTCCCCTTCTCCCAATTATCTACCATCTAATTCCATCATTCCTCTTCCTACTGCCCCTACACTTCGCAAGTCTACTCGGAACAGGATTGCTCCTCAATATCTAAAGGACTTCCATTGCAAACAAGTCAGGCTTGCCTCACCTCCCCAATCCTCTTCCACTGCAACTTCTCAATTAAATGGTAAATATTTTTCTCTCTTTGACTGCTTATCTTACAAGCATTTTAATTCCTCATTTCAAGCATTTTCATCATCCATTTCCATTCAAACCGAGCCCACCTCATATAAACAAGCAATTAAAGATCCTGAGTGATGCAAAGCTATGGATGCTGAAATTGAAACTTTGGAAAACAACCATACTTGGACCATCACTGGTTTGCCTACAGGAAAAGAAGCAATCAATTGTAAGTATGTCTATCACATTAAATTTAAGTCTGATGGTTATGTTGAAAGACTTAAGGCGAGACTTGTAGCTAAAGGCTACATCCAACAAGAAGGCATAGATTATACTAAAACTTTCTCACCCGTTGCTAAACTTGTCACCGTTCGATGCCTTCTTAGTGTTAATGCCATCAAAGGATGGTATTTACATCAATTTGATGTAAATAATGCATTTATTAATGAAGAAATTTACATGGAGAAACCCCCGGGTTACACCAAAGGTAAACCAACTCAAGTTTGCAAATTGCTTAAAAGCCTTTATGGCCTAAAGCAAGCTTCAAGACAATGGAACTTCAAACTCACCTCTTCTCTTATTGCTTTTGGCTTCATCCAATAAAAGTCTGATTATAGCTTATTCCAAGCATGAAGGGGACAATTTTATTGCTTTGCTCATTTATGTTGATGATTTTCTGGTTGCTAGCAATTCCAATGACTCCATTGCTTCTCTACAAAATTTTTTGAATAGTAAATTCAAAATAAAAGATCTTGGCTGTCTCTATTATTTCTTGGGCTTGGTAATTGCTAGATCTTCCAAAGGTATTCATATATGTCAAAGGAAATATGCCTTAGACATTTTGGCAGATTCGGGTATGTGGATGCAAACCCCTTAGACTTCCTATGGATCAACACTTCAAAATCAGCAAATCTGAAGGGACTGCACTTTTTGATCCAAGTATCTTTCGAAGGTTAATTGGTAGGTTATTGTACCTCACAATCACCCGCCCAGATATTTGCTTTGCTGTCCAATTATTAAGCCAATTTATGGATCAACTTTTTTCCTCCCACCTAGCAACAGCCTACCGTATCTTGCGGTATATTAAAAATGCACCTGCTCAAGGTCTTTTGGTGCCATCCTCATCTCAGCTTCAACTTACTGCTTTTTATGATTTGGATTGGGCCTCTTACCCGGATTCCTGCCAATCTACAATAGGATATTGTGTTTTCTTGGGTCAATCGCTTATTTCTTGGAAGTTTAAGAAGCAAACGGTTGTTTTTAGATCATCTGCTGAAGGCGAGTATCAGTCTATGGCCACTACTTGTTCAGAACTTACTTGGCTTCGATACCTTCTCCATGATCTTGACATTTCTCATCTGCAGGCCGCCATTCTCTACTGTGACAACATGTAGCCCTTCACACAGCTACTAATCCGATTTTTCATGAGCGAACCAAGCACATAGAGCTTGATTGTCACTTGATCCGCGACAAAATTCAGGAAGGAAGTCTCACAACAGCTCATGTTTCCTCTCAAGCACAGTTGGCTGATACATTCACCAAAGCTCTTCCATCCTACCTTCTTCAAGCACTTGTCCAAGATGAGAATAGTCAATTTCTATTCTCCATCTTGTGGGGGGATGTTAACATATACAGGCCATTTTTTGTAATTAGTTTTTACCTTTTTGTTGTTGCATATCTTTTTTGTTATTCTTTCATTCATTTTAGCACATGTCTACTAGCTGGCACAATATGATAGGTTGGGTTTGTTATTTTGTTACAAGTTTGTTACAGAGTCCCTGTATATATTCTCGTTCTTCTCCCTTGTACAGAAGGAAAATACACACTGAAATGAAACATTTAACTTTCCTCCATTGTTAAGCTCTCTGAGTTTTTGGTTGCTCTCCTAACAGAAACTGTAGATTCGCCAAATCTTGGGTGGGTAAATATCCTTTACTCTAATTTAATATTAATTTTAGGAACACAAAGTCCGTGAGAATGTAAATAAGTTAGCTTGAGTAGTAGTGAAAGTAAAAGATCTAAGTTGAATTTCTTTTATAGGAGAAATAATAGTGTTGATAACGTATAATGTCTTTTTATTCAAGTTTCTCTAAACTATTGGATTGGATTCAGATGGAGGGTAGGTGATTTTTGTTTTATTTTAAGTTTAAAAAATTGTGTTACAATAGTGTGTGTATATATATATATATATGGAAAAAGCAAATGAATAGGGTTAAATCTACAAAAATAAACACAAATATGGCCACATAAAAGTTTGAGATTTTTTAAAACACTCCTTGCATTTGAGATTTTGCTAAAACACCCTAGCCACATAAAAGTTAATTTTCTAACAAAATCACCCCCACCCACCCCAAGCCACTACCGGCCGTCGGCCACCATTGCTAGCTAGATCCAGAAATGGCTAGATTGGCACACCACCATTGGCCAAATCTGAAAACAGTTAGATTGGCACACGACGGCCACGTCGACCAGCGGTGGTGGCCTTGGGTGGCCTGCAATTTGTTTTAAATACAGGGGCATTACTGTCAAAAAACTTAATTAATTAGAGGTCAAGTTGTAATGACAAGTTCATATAAATTAATTTAAAAATAAGAGCATTATTGTCCAAATTTTTTATTAATAAGGGGTAATTGTAATAAAATTAAGATTGCCAAATAATCTTAAAATAACTAAGAAAATTAAGTTAATCAGATTACCATCTATATTACTAATAGTAATGATTATTGATGTTAGAAAATTACCGGAATCTTATATTAATTACTTGACAACCAAACATGGTAATATAGTAATATAAGATGACATTATTTCAGTAATAAGAGATTACCCCTAACCAAATACCCCCTTAATGATTTATTACTTACAATTTTACTTTTTACTTTTAAGCTAGTCTTAAACATAATTAATTCTATATTATTCTTGTTAATTATGTCTGTACGTTCGACTCTACAATTTTGGTACAAAATTATTTGATACATGCCAAGCCATACTTTGTTATGGTAATTCTCTAATCAAAACGTCTTTTTAATTTAATTATATTAGGATTTGCTGACTAAGGAATACTCGTATTTTGTTGATAAATTTGAGAAATTAATCATAAAAAGAAATAAGCAAATTATTTATTGGATCAGCTTCGGATTACATTTACTGTATTGCTTTTTACAGAATAGAAATGAATCAATGATAAACATATATAATTAACAATTTAAGAAATTAATTTTCATGGTTTTCCATATGAAGCAATCTTGTAGGAAATTAGAGCCCCAACTCCCATAAGCACCAGCACTGCAGTTCCCATATTCACCAGCAATCTCCTCTCTTCAATTTCCCTAACTCCTCCTTTACCACTCTTCACCTCTTCTTCACGTTTATTCATCTCCTCAATTCCATTCTCACCTTTCTTTCCACTTTTCTTATCATCATCGTCATCTTGACCTTTCTTTTTCTGTTCAGACACTGCAGCCGATTCTTTTCCTTGCACCACACCCTTAATCTCATCAACATTATTTTTCTCCGGCGTCGACTTTTCTGTTTGATCATCAGCTCCCTTCTTTTCCTTCTTGTCATCAACCAATGCAGCACCTTTTGAAGAAATGCTTTTATCACCTCCCTTTTGAGACTTTTCTTCAACTAATGGTTCCTCTTCTCCACGTTTTTCCTTAACAGCAGCTCCTGGAGAAGTACTTTTATCTTCACCCTCATGAGTTTTTTGATCACTTGTTGGTTTCTGAGTGGTTGCGGTTTCAGCTAATTTTTTGTCACCTCTCTGAGGACTCTGTCGCTGCGGACTTTGATCACTTCCAGAACTACTCTCAGGAGAAGACGTTTGAGGGCTGGGAGTGGGAGTTCTCTCTTCGGTTGTTGTCGGGCTTGGAGTTCTCTCTTTGGTTGTTTTCGGGCTTGGAGTTCTCTCTTCGGTTGTTTTCGGGCTTGGAGTTCTTTCCGAAGTAGACTTTTGAGGGCTAGGACTTGTTCTTTCTTGGGTTGTTTTTGGCTCTGCGATTTGTTGATCACTCGGTTTTGGGGCGATTAATTTAGGCATAACAACAGTGAGAACTCCACGCTCGAACTGGCTGTTGATTTTACTGGCGTCACAGGTTTCAGGAATTCTGAAAACTTCTGCGAATTTGCTCCATCTTCCATTTGGAAGTGGACGTTGCCCTTGAATTTTTATACCAAGTGATGCATCGTCAATGTATGTGAGCATCACTCTTATTTGCTCCCTCACAAAACCTGCACCATTACAATTCATTATATATAAACTTTTCCATATGAGACGCATTGTGATACAATTTACTTCTGAAAATCTGACATTTCTGGATCGAATTTTTCACGACTCATACAAAATTGATTTAATGCAGCTTTTTGTTTCCGAAAATAAGGGATATATAAAAAAAATTCTTATGAAAATGATTTCGAAAACAGTTTTTAGTATACAACCTTAAAAGCTGGTATAAAATTAGAAAACAATTAAAAGTTGTTTTTAGAGTTTTTAATATGAAGATTGTTTTTTAATATTATATCACAAACATTAATTGTTAAATATAAATAACATTAACATACAACTCAAAATTTTAAGTCTAATTTTAAATTTTGAAAATTATTTTCAGATTTCAAATTAAATACACCCTCACGTACCATGTTGAAAAATCATTTAACCTAAGAATTTTATAAGTTTAATCAATTAAATCTAATTAAGTTGATATATTATAATTGATTGCAGAGCACAACAAGAGAATCAATGGATCACTCAACTTATATAAAGTTAAAGGTGATAGAATTTGTTTGTCTAAGGAATAAAAAGGCAAGGTCGCCAACGTGAGAAACCAATAGGAAGAGATCAAATCAAAGAGTAGAGTGGAATATATAGGTGAAAAGCATGAATAATGGAGGAGACTTATTTTTGAAGACAACACTTTCTTCTTTAAATGAAAAGGTGAAAAGATTTTTTCAGAGATTAAGTGTGTAAAAATTTTAAAATAAAATAAGTTATTTTTTTTTTTTTAAGTTTATTCTTTAATGATTATGAAAAACATATATGGATGTCGGTATAGCTCTATTTTCTTACGTCTATTGCGTTGGTATAAATGTCTTCAGAATATATGACACTGTTTCTGTCGTCAAACATTTGATGCATGGAAAACTAGTGAAAAATATAAGACAAAACCTGAATCAAAAGTAAATTAATTTCAAGAGAAGTGAGGAGACATACCAGGAAGATGAACAAGAAGAAAAGTAGCATCATTCTCAAATTTCCATTCTGATCTAGGCCTGATAGTGTCGTAAGTTTGACGAAAGGGTTGTCGAAATGGTTGGTTCCCAGTTCTACCGCGAGGTCTCATTGCCATTTCTACTAATTTCCAATGACCAAAATATGATAATACTTTGAATTATGAAAACAATTGATATCAATTAATGAGTTGATCGGTTTTGCTTTTTATATATATATATATATATATATATATACGTGACAAGTTTTAATTTTGTATTCGGTTGTCGTATTGTTGAGACTATTCTTTTCTGATTTCTCATTGCCTTGTATTATGGCTAATTGAAGCTTGCAAATAAAACTATTCTTTGTTGCTTTGTTTGGTTTTATGAAATTCATGTAATCCTCTTTCATGTATTACCTCTTCCAGAGGAACTTCTTTCCATGTCTTTTACTCATTCTTTGAGTTGTGTTCATTTATTAGCGTTGAACTTAAAATACTAATTTTGCACATTTCTTTTTTATGTGAGAAAGTTTAATTGAATTTTTTATTTAGTATTTATCATCAATGATAATAAATGGTTAAATGTTAGCCGCAGCTGATACAATATCGCTGTATGCCAGTTGAGCTATAGCTCCTGTATTGATTTACAAACAATTTTTATTTTTTTTTTCACGAAATTGGAGGAACAAGATCTTAATTCTTTAAATAATTCAATATTAAAAAGCAGAAGTACGACTTTTTGGAAACAGAAGGGTACTGGGAAACGTATTCATACATGTATCATGCATAAACATAGTGTACTTTATTTTTTCGAAAATTCTGGAGAGCTTTGCTTTAGATGGAAGCACGTGAAGTAGTTTTCCAAGAATCTTGATAATTACGCATTTTAAGGGGATGTTTGTCTAACCTTATAAGCTGATCAAACTAGTTTATAAGCTCTAAAATTAAGCTGACCTGTTTGTTTATAATTTTTTTGAGCTTATAAGCCAAAAAAAATAAGTTGGGGGGAGGTACTTTTTTTTTTTGGCTTATAAGCACTCTGCTTATAAGTTAGTTTGACCAAGTATATTACCACATTATCCTTATTTAATTTAAAATTCCATAGTACACCCTTATTTAATGTAATACCCTTTTTAGTCATTTTATAATAAAATGTACTTATAAGCCATATTTTACCAAACACGTCAACTACTTATCAGTCACTTATAAGTATTTTAACTAAATACGTAATTGCTTAAAATTTCAAATGCTTATAAGCTAAAATTAGCTTATAAACACATATTGCTTATAAGCTAATTTTCATAAGCTCAGACAAACACCCCTTAAATAATCTTTTTTATTAAAAAAGAAAAAGAAAGTTTAAAAAGGCATGAAATTATTATTTTGGGACAAACAACCCCAATTAGATTTAGATTCAATAAATGATTAAATGACTTTTTTCCCACCTAAATAATTACTTAATGACACTTTCTCATCATGAACTTTTAAAATACCACTTTATTACTCAAATATTATATTCCGTCAATAATTTATATTAAATACAGTAATTCTGTCAAATTTGCGCCAAATTTGAAGAAAATCGCAAAAAAAAAAAAAAAAAAAAAAGACGGCGGCGATATGAGTTCAATTGGGGTGAGGGAGCATGTGGCTTTTGAAGGGGAGAAGTCGGTGAGTTAGGGGGTGGAGGTGGGAGGGGTTGTTGCTGCCGGAATTGAAGAAAATCGCAAAAAAACCTAGGGAGGAGGCATCGATGATCAAAGTTCAATTGGGGTGGGGGAGTATGGGGCTTTTGAAAGGGAGAAGCCAGTGAGTCAAAGGGTGGAGGTGGGAGGGGTTGTCGCTGCTGGATTTTGCTACAATCTGGTGAAGGACAATTGTGTGACGCGGTTGTTGTGTCTGGCGAATGGCGGTTGCTGGCGGGGGAAAAAGGGTGGGGTTTTGTTGCTAGGATGGTGGGGAATGTTGTGGTGGTGGTGGGAGGCCTAAATGGCGCTGAGTTCAACTCGAAATGGCGGCCACGTGGTGGGTGTGGGAAATCGGCACATTAGTTGACGATCTTGCCCTTTTCTATAACAGATTTTTGATCATTTTACCCTTCTTCACAACAAAATTTTCTATGGAATTGTGTTTGGAATAATAAAATAGTATTTTAAAAGTCTACGAGTAAAAACGTGTCATTAAGTGATTATTTAGCTCAGACAAAGTCGTTTACTCTATAATAAATTATCTTATCTTTACGGAGAATGACGCACTTCTACGAGAAAATTAATAAATTATATATGATGTTACCGAGTTGAAAATATTACTTTTTGACTTTAAATCTCAGCGAACTAATGGAACTCAAATGAAAGATAAAAAAAATTTGAAACAAATTTTGAAGTCAAGAATTAAAATTAAGAATCAAAGGTAAATTTAATGATTTAGACGCTATAATACCCTTATTTAGAGGTTAATTGAACTTTTATCCTACAATTAAATCTCTATTAAATAGATTAGTGAACATATCATGTGAACAAAGTCGAATATTGGAAGGAAAATAGGGCATAAAGTTCTTCGTTTTGGTTATACTTTTCTTTAACTTGAACGTTTAAATATCCCTTTAAATGGAACTGTTAATTTAGAGACGCCCATAAAGTTTATTCTCTAAATGCATATCAAAAAGCATTGATTTCTAATTAAAATCTTGTAACTTTTGAAACTCTCAATTACTTGTAAGAGTCCATATAAATTTTTTTTTTTACTTTTTCAATGGGTCAAGGTAGTTAATTTTGTCAAACTGAATAAATTTTTTTGCTAGATTTTTTAAAAAAAGGAAAAAATCTTGTCTAGAAAGATTTCATTAACAAATGTGCCCTACACTTTTAACATTAACATCTTATATATTTAATAAGGAGTAGATTTTATTCCTGATCGAGTTTGTTTTATACGCCCCTCATGGGATTGTTTATTGTGGCATACCTAAGCTTTAGTCTTTAATAAATTTTATAAAATCTTAGGCAATATTAGATAATATTTTTAATGAATTTAGATATAAATTAAGGCAATATCATCTCAAAGGGTCTTATCTGTATATTAACATGAAGTAAAAATGACTGAAAATTTCCCAAGAAATAACCCATAGCATTTCCAACTCCCCCAATTTTACTATATAGTAATTTATAAATGGAGAGAACTTTATTTTATTATCATTTAAAATGTTGATAATGATATATAATTACAACTTAATTATGATAAGCACTTGATTTTTCAAGAACGAGCCAGAGCTAGCTAGTTCTCTTTTGCTTTTGATGCAATGGTATACGAGACATAAGCACCAAACGCCACAAGCACAAGAATCGCCACGCCCATGTTCACCATCGCTTGCCTCTCTTCTTTATTATTCTCCATGGCCATTTCCTTCACCGCCTTCCTTTCCTTCAAATTTTTATCACCAGATTTATGTTTCTTTCCTTTCAACCCCTTCTCTGAACCAGCCGCAGTACCCTTGGTAAAATCTTTACTTGTTTGCTCAACACTTCGATCCGCCTTCAACATCTCACGGTCATCACTTTTCTTCGACGTCGAACCAACTTGTGGTAATTGTGGTGAAGTTTTATCTTGACCCTTTTGATCCCCGGTCTCTTTTTTCTCAGGTTTTTGTGCTTTCAGAAGCTCGTCAGCTTGCCTTTTACCATCAGTATTATAGCTTGAGCTCGCGCCTTTTGGAGGAGATTGTTCTTGTTTAGTCTTTTGAGCTTGTTGCGGAGTTTTTGCTTCATCTTTAGACGCTGAAACTGGCGGTGGGGTGACGATCTCCTTTGGCATTGTGATCGATATAATTTCATTTTGCCATTTTGCTTGGATTTTATCGAGGATACAGTTTTGTGGAATTGTGTAAGATTGATTGAATCGGCTCCATCTGTAATTGGCGAGTTGCCGCTGTCCCTGGAGTCGAATTATTCGAGTTGAACGCACGCACGTAATACTTATTTGCTCCTTCTTGAATTCTGCATATCAAACTCTCTTAATTGTTAGGGAAGAAGAGATTTCTTTGTTTTTGTTTTTAGAACTCAGAAAACAAGAAAAATGTGTTCGTTTAAGTGTTTTGAGAAAATAAAAAAGAAATCATTTTCCAAATGTTTGTAAAGAGAATGAGATAACTATTTGGAGTTATATTATCATTTTTAGAGACAGCTACCAATTTTTTTTTTTTTTTTAATTTTTAATGGTTCTACTTTTTAATTCCTATAAATGTATATTTTTTTAAATCATTAAAAATGTAAGACAGATAATTATTGCATTAATTACAATAATTATACACTTATGGTCATTTTTATAAGACATTAAAATTGAATTTTTATATTTATTTTTGTAAAACTAAATCAAAAAGCAAACCGAAGAGTCCTTGTACATATCAGGCCTATCTATTGTTTTGAAATTCAACAGTAGCATGAAATTCAACTAGCTAGAATATATATGCATGAATTAATCTTGTATTAAGGGGTAAAAAAAAATAGTAATTAAAAATAACAGAAAAAAAACATACCAGGAAGATGAACAATTAAGTAATGATTTTCTGTGTCTTCGCTCCAATCGGCCAAGGGCTGAAAATCGTCGGAACTTATAAGTGTATGATCAGCCATAGCAGATTGTGGTCTGTTTGCTATAATCCCTAAGTTTGTTTTTGTGACTGCATATAATTCTTGAATGTCTGTTGTGCTTTTATAGTTCAATTCATTGTTTCTAGCTAATAAATTAATTATATTGAGAAAATTGGTTAAGGTTTCTTTAGAATGACACTATTCTTTGTTGGGTAGGTGGGTTTTGTGATGTCTTTATGTTATGGGATCTATATAAACTTCTTGTACAAATAAAGGGCAAATTCTTTGTTTGCCCTGTAGTATGAACATTGCAAGCCTGAAAATGGGGCTGTTTGCATGGATCAACATTTCAGCAAAGGCAAGGAAATGGAAAGAAAGAAAGAAAAAGAAAATGAACATTGCAAGCCTGAAAATGGGGCTATACATTAATTAAAAGTGAAATTATTGATTATAACTATCATGGTTTACTTTTTAGATAAAACAATCTCTTTTGGTAAACAAAGCCGGATTTAATATTATAGGGGGTAAATTCAAAATAAAATAATAAAAAATTTATAATTGAAAGTAAGAAAAGTACTAAAGAAAATTAATAAAAAATACAGTTTTTGAATATGGTTACTTGCCCCTTCTTGGATTCATCTATGTCTATCCGGATGAAAGTGTCACTAAAAAAAATCAGAAATTTGCCAATTACTATTAATTATTTAGTTTTGATTTTACTTGCTGTGAAAAGATAATACTATTTTAGACGTAAATAATGATCTAGAACCTGCCCACGCTCAAGAGTGAATTAATTATAAATAGGACTATATCTAAATAAAGTTACTAGTAAGAAAAAAAAAAACGCAGATAATTAACTTAATTGATTGGTAAATTCTCCTAGAATGGTTGTATCATGCAACGAAAAAAAAAATTTTGATTCTTTATTTTTTTTCTTGAAAAGAATTGTGTTTTGGAGATAGCTTTCGGCTATATTGAATCATGTGAAAGTGGTTTTCCAATAATCTTGGATCGTGAAATTAAATTAGCTTTCTTTACTAATCCAAAGAAAGGAATATTTTGAAGTATAGTTGCAAATATCTAAAAAAATAATTATATGGAATAGTCTTATACTCTGAGGTAGCGTTTGGTTCAGAGAATATTATATTATTGAGGAATGTTGTATTACTGGAAAGATAGATTACTAGGAAATCTTTAGAAAAATGTATTTGGTCGGTTGGAATAAATCGATGGGTATGTTATAACAATATGTTTGGTTGGAAGGATAAATGAGTGGGTATGTTATATAGATTACTAAATTGCCCTCATTTTAAAATAATAATATAATATTATTTTTATTATTATTTTTTTCTATTATTTTTTAAATTATTTCTTTTAACCCCCTATATTTGAAATTTTACCAAAACACCCCAACCATATATAACTTTAATTTGTAGCAAAGTCACCCTCACCTCAAACCACCGCTGACAGCCACCACCACCGGAAGCCGCTGTAATGGCACACGACCAGCCGGATCTGGCTGGTCGTATGCCGATCAGGCCTAATCTGGCCAGATCTGGCCGTGAATATGGTCGTTTCATGGCTAGCTCTGGCCATTAATATGGCCATTTCACGGCCAAAGATGTGGCCGTGAAATGGCCATAGATCTAGCTGTGAAAAGGCCAGATCTATGGTATTTCACGGCCACATCTTTAGCTGTAAAACGGCCAGATTTGGTCGTTTCCAGCCATGGATCACAAATCCATGGTCGGAAATGTCCTTATCAGCACACGACTAGCAAGATCCTGTCGGTCTTGTGTCGATATGACGATTTTTGCCTGTGGCCAGCGATGGTGGCTAGTGGCCGATGGTGGTCTTGGATGATTGAGGGTATTTTGTTAACTTTTAAACTTTTTTGTGGCGGGGATGTTTTAGCTAAGTTCTCAAATGTAGGGGGTTTGGGCTAATTGTTATTTGGTAGACATATGAGGGCAAATGTGTCTGGAATGATAAAATATTAAGGCAAAATAGGGTAAAAATTATGATTACCCCGATAATCTAACATTAACACCCCTTGGGAAGGTAATATGATTACCCCCAATATTACCAATAGTAACCACTATTTGCAATAAAATATTACTATAATATTATATTACTTGACAACCAAACGAGGGAATCTTGAAAATGAAACAAAGATTACAGGATTTATCTTATTTTACCCCGAACCAAATGCACCCTTATTGTCTCACTCTCCTAATGTAATGAGATCGTCTAATAATCAGTGTTTTAATAACCTGACAAAGTGGCTAGGTCTCGGATGACTGTTTAAACCGGTTTGATCAGTAGGTGAAACTAGTGTCCAAAAGTTTGAAATATAGCAAAAACACCCATAAAAATCATGTAAGTCCCTACATCTTTGAAATCTTGCAAAAACACCCCAAATACCATTGCCAGCATCGACAAACCAGAGCAAATAAGGCATATTTCCGGTGACTACAACACTCCCTATCACCACGAAAACACTCTCCTCAATCTCCTGACCAAAACCCATATCACCGTCCCAATTTCTAAGGTTTTTGGTGAAAAAGAAAATTGCTAACTCGGCCCAATGAAGACCCCGGGTCCCAGTTGAATCGATTTAATCAACCGGGCTGAGTTTTCAAATAATGCTAATAATATAATGACATAATAATTTAACACTAACTATTTTCTAGCACTGATCAGTAGCTATCCATAGTGATAGTAAAATCAATCATACATATGACCATTTTATTGAAGGTTTCACCACCTTGATAAAGTGAGTGTAAACCTCCCACGTCAGCGTTCCGATGCTATAAGGTATGTAATTCTACCCTTAAAAGGATTTTTATCAATAAAAGGGTAAAACGGTCATTTTGCATGCATTATGAGATGTGAATGTTGTAAAGTGTTAGGAATTGATGATACCGATAAGAAATACGGTTAAAGGGTCATGAAGGAGGTTAGTACAGGTTAAACGGCATAAACAATTCTCAAGGGGTATAATGGTCTTTTCACAATAATTTATAGGAATCAAGTATCCATAAAAGTGTATTATGGGTAAATTAGTTAATTATCTTATGGAATTACTTGGTCACCAAGTAGAAAAGAGAAGTTAAATGGCATTAAAAGAGTGTAATAATTATGTTGTAGTAGAAATGACCAAAATGCCCTTATATGCAAAATTTATACCAAATGACCCATATATCTAACTTTTGATGGCCAATCCCATTTGGGAATTAAAAAAATGGAATGTTTATAAGATCTTTTCTTGGTTAAGTCGGCCAACACTCTTAGAACACCAAACTCTCTTCTTCAAGTCTTATTTTCCTCCATTAAAGGCTTTAATTCAAACTTTCTCTCTCAAAATTTTCATAGGATTTTAAGTTGAATTTCAAAGGAGATCATCATTCACACTTAAAGAACTTCAATTTTAGGGTTTAAGGTGAGTTTTAAAACCCTAGTTTCTTGTGATTTTTAGTTAAAAGAGAAATTCATAAGTGGCTATGTGTGTAAGGTAGAAAGGGTGAACCTTTGGAGCTAAGGAGGAGTGTCTTTGTGCTTTGAATACTAAGGTAAGGAAAAAAAAAAATCTCCCTCATGACTACAATTGATAACACCTAGGGTTGATGAAACTCACATCTATTTATGTTAATTTGAGTGTGATGCTATGCTTTGGTTATAGATTGTTTAAATGGGTGTGTTGATTATTGTATGTGTGCATATGGAGGATGATTATGCCAATTAAGAGATTTGTAGTTGGACAATGTTTTGGCACTTTTTGGTGTTGTAAAAAGGGAGGTTTTTATGGCCTTTTCTACTTAGAATGATATGGAAAATACTATGAATGTGCAAATGAATGTGACATGGTTAAAAATGAATATAATTCGAATTTGGCTTTTTAAGACTTATACTATACAGGCTTCACTGCATCAGTCATAGCTGAAGTTATAAAAGTCTGATTAAGCTGATTCTTGAAGTATCAAAATGTTGAGAAATAGGCCTAAAACTTTTGTGTTTTAGCCAAAAATCAATTCGAATTGGAAGATAAGGAAAAAATTTCTTGAAAAGTGACGAACTGTATGGTATCCACCTCCTTAATAAAAATTCTCATTTTTTTTTTTTATAATTTCTAATAAACCACTGAATAAGCTTACTGTTGAAATTCCTTGTGTTTTATGAGAAATCGAATGAATTAAGTTAATGAATTTAATAGGAAAATATTCATGTCATGGAGTTTTGCTAAATTGATTGATGAATTGTGCAACTGGCCAAGAGTACATGTTAAATGAATGAATAGTATGATTGAGCATAGGAGATGTTATCCCATATGTTTGCATTTATAATGGTAATGCATATAGCTTATTTAGTTGACTTATGGAAAAATTTATGAAATGTTAAAGAATGAATTACATGAGTCTTTTGAGGTATAAACCAAGATTAGAGGAATTGAATCTTTGTGGAAATCATGAGTCATTCGAGGTGACGACTAAAAACAAAATAATAGTTTAAATGAATCTGATCGGATAATAAAGACTAACGAAAACATCAAGTACAAAGGCCAAAGAAATAGGCAGGCCATGTTGATGAATATTGCATAAGTTATATATGTTCTATGTTATATTATGTATAGTTATGTTATGACTTATGTTTATGAGGAAAATTCAAAGTGTATGACATGTTTTATGAACTTGATAATGTCAATAAATGAAGGTCATGTCTTGTAGGTAGGTAAAGTCCTGAGTAATATGCTTATATAATAAACTTTAATAGTTTATAAATGAACATATTCCCTTACTGAGCGATTAGTGCTCACCCCACCAAATTTTTTAAAATGTTCTACAGGTAAGGATTGAAGCTTGAAACTGGGACAGGCTACTGGGGAATGACATGCGCATGAAGGAATGCTTTTGCTATGTTTTGAATTTTTGTTGTAAAATAACATCAAATGGTTTTGGTATATGTTGAAGTAAATATGTTTTAATAAACCTAGTATGACAATTTCCTTATCAAATGAATGAAAAAGGTTAAATGATATTATATACTTATGATATTAGCTNACAAATGACTTATCTGTCACCAT